TCATTAAGATGCCTTAAACTTGGCTTAGGAATGCCTAGGATGGAATGAGGATGCAAAGATGTACTTTAAAACACTTTTCAAAATTTGTTGAAAACAGGGGTCTCGCTCGAGCGTGGCTTTCTATGCTCAAGCGAGCTTACCAAAACAGAGTGGTCGCTCGAGCGTAGACTCCCTCGCTCTAGCAGTCTGTAAAAACATGAAAAGTATTGGATTTGAAAAATTCCCTCTCGATGCTCGCTCGAGCGTGAGACACAGCTCTTCGGTCGAGCGTAGGTCTCGTCGCTCGAGCGTGCGTCTGTGTGCACAAAAACCTGAGAGCTTGCAATCTACGCTCGAGCTAGCATTCCGTCGATCGAGCGGAGCTCTGAATGAAAAGATGGTCGCTCGAGCGTGGAAGCCAAAATCTGGAATTTCCAGCTTGCTCCCAAAGCTCAAACCAAGAATTAAACACATCAAAACTCAACATTTTGGGCCAATTTTCTGGAAAACACTTGAAAACTCATATTACAACATGTTTTGAAGATCAATTTTGTAAAATAAAGCCCAAAGGTAAGCCAATTGAACACCAATTTCAAAGAAACTTGAAGAACAATGCAAGAACATAACATGCATGAGTTTCTATGAACTCTAATGCTCTAAAACATGATCAAATGCAAGATTGAACTTTAAAACATGGTGAATTCTTGGACTACAACTAAAATATGAACTTGCATGCAATAATTTTCATGAAAACAACCTCAAAATTCCATGATATGGGCATGCATGCATGAATGGACTCTTAATTTAACACATTAAGCTAATTCTTGACTCAAATCACTAATTTCTCATGAACCATGCATGTAACAACTCAATTTCATAATCAAGAGGGTGAATTTCCTACCTTAGGTCTTGAATTCCAAGTATGGAAGCTCAATTTTGCAAATCTCCTTCAATTCTTCTAAGTTCAAGCAAAATTTCTAGTTGAATTCAATTCTTTCCTCACACTCCCTCTCTCTCACGATTTGGCAAGAAGATGGATGAAAAGAGGTGTGCCAACATGTATTAAAGAGAATAAACAATGGCCTAGAATTATCCACTTAATGGCAATAAGGTAATTTACTTAAACTAATATAATTTAACTTCATTTATTTAATCTAATTTAATCATTCCAAATCAAATTTTAATTAAACCTACCATAAAATTCTATAAATCCTAATTAGCATATAACACTAATCAATTTCTGAATCGATTGTTGATAAGGCTTTCAATTCGCAATTCGAAATAAAAACACGAACAGATCATTCAGTACTCAAATAGATAGAAATGCATTTAAAACAATATGCTCATGCAGTCAATCCAGGATTTTGTCTTAATCAATTACTTATCATGCTTGGTCACCGTTTAACACTAATCAGAAGTGAGGGTTGTCATAGTTTCGAAGGGGGGGCAGCAGAATTTCGGAAAGTTCTCAGCAAATATGTTGTTGAGTGTGGGTTCCAATTTAAGTTCAAGAAAAATGACTCCGTTAGAATTACGGCTATGTTTTAATGAGTCAAGGGGTTGTCCGTGGTTTGTCCATGCTAGGGTGATGAACGTGAATGGATTTTTTTTCTTGAAGAAATGGAACAGCGAGCACATATGCGGTGTTGCTGTGCGGATTGCAAGTAATCCGAGGATAGGTTCCAAACTAGTTGCTGATGTCATGGAAAAACGTGTACATGACAAGCCGCTGACTCGTCCAACGGATGTCAAGTATCATTTCTAGAAAGATTATGGTTTACAAGTTAGTTATCGCGTAGCTTGGTTGGGGGTTGAGAAGGCCAGAGGCGACATTTTCGGTGATCATTCCGCTTCGTTCGACCAATTGTGGTGATATAGCAATGCCGTTATGGAATATAATCTAGGAAGTTATGTAAATCTGGAGTTCGATGCGAGCAACACACATCGGTTCAATAGGCTTTTCATATCATTCAAAGCATGTATTGATGGGTTCAATCATTGTCAGCCGCTACTGTTTTTGGATGGTCCTTTCTTGAAAGAGAGATTCAAGGGCAACTTGCTCGCTGTTACCGCCAAAGATGGGAACAAAGGTTATGTGTTGTTACCATTTTTAACTAGATTGCTATAATGCATCTATTTTTTTGAGACACAGAGGCTGTTACGGGGTGTCCTGAATGTGTGTGTGTTGTCAACGTATGTCAAACCAAAACAGCGAGGCTCCTCATTTATTTTTGATACTATGAGTTGTGTGTGTTAGTAACGTATGACAAATCAACACAGCGGGGGTGTCACACAGTTTTTTAAACTTTTGTGATTATGTCTTGCAGGTTTATTTCCAGTGGCTTTCGCAATCGTTGATTCAGAGAATGCACCAAACTGGGAATGGTTCTTACAAAATCTTGCAAACATAGTTGATGGGTCCCGTTCGTTAACGTTTATTTTGGATCGTCATGTCGGCCTTTTGGAATCCATACCTGTTATATTCCCAACATCACACCACGTATTTTGTATGTAACATTTACAAAGAAATTTGAGAGGCAGAATGAAGTATGTCAACAACCCACTCTGTATGGGGCTGGTTAATAAATTCCGTCAATGCGCATACACACTAATGGTGGTTGACTTCAACCAAAAATTGGAACTATTTACATATTCTGGCTGCCATTTTGTGATAAATTTCCTAAAGGATTTGGACCCATGCCACTAGGCCAATGCATATTTGAAGTAGTAATTGATCATTTTTCGGGTATTTTCATTGATCCACATTAGTGTTTACACATTACAAATTCAACTAGTTCATGTAACTAACATTTCCACATAACTACATAGAGGCAATCAGTACAGGGAGATGTCATCCAATGCAGTTGAATCGTTCAACAATTAGATAAAGGAAGCACATCATTTACCGATCACCAGGTTGGTTGATGCGATCAGAATACATATAATGACTCAAATGGCGAATCGTCGAGGGGCATCCGACACATGGGCTGGAAAAATATGTCCAAAAATGGAGTACAAATTGGATGAGGCATACAAAAAGGATAGATCGTGGACAATCAGCCAATCAAACAATGATGTGTACGAAGTCCACTCGCACCCATCCGTGTTGGTAGATATTGGGAAGTGTACATGTTCATGTTTTCAATGGCAGATAAATGGGTTACCTTGTGAACACACAATGGTTGTCATCCGGAACATTGGCACATATTTGAATGTTTTAGTAGATCCATATTTCCATGTCGTCATCTACTGGGCGTTATATTCTCACACAATATATCCAATCTCGACAGTTGAGAAACCAGAAATCAGCCCAGATAAATATGTCATACTCTCTCCCGCTGTTCGGCGACCACCCGGGAGGCCAAAGAAGAAAAAGATATCGTCTCAAGGGGAGGATGTTCAACAAATTCGATATGGGAGATACGACCGGATGGGGAATCATAACAGGACAACGTGCAAGGAACCAATTTAGTGTCACTTTATAACATGAAGTTGTCGATTACTTATGTTTAGTTTCGTATTTCTTACATTTTACATAACAAAACATTTGGGGTTTTATGTAGCTCTACCCACATTTGCTTAGCTCATTTTATAATAATCATAGGGATTCCTTTCAGGTTTGGTCCATATTCACCCTATGATCAGGTACCAAATAAAACTTATACCATCCACATCATGATCCCAATGTGTGAATATTTTGTCCGGTCCCATCCAAATCCTCATTACCTCAAACAACAATAAAAATAGTGCATTATATCGGGTTCGACCTCAGATGCAACACAGTAATCAAACCAATCATAATTGAGTACGTACGTTATTGTATTTGGTCTTATTTTTTCTCCGTAATATGTTCACAAAGGTAGTCAATTGAACGTACCAAACTTCATGTACGCGCATGAACACTCTTCGCATTTCATTTAACTCCACAAGGTCACATCACCAACACCAAGAAATACCTGCTGACACAACATTGCCTAACAATAATAGTCATGTTCGCAAACCCACATTGCAACATGTTCCATGCAGCAAGCTCAAATTAATTCGTAAAATCACCAAATATAGTTCAATATATACTAACACATGGTCAACATTTCCCCTGGACAAATGTTATCCGAACACATCATACTATGAACACAAGACCTGAAAACACTGTTCGTTATGTCGGGAGGGCACTATCACACTCTTTGTCGTCGTCCGCTTGCCACTACATGCGTGGATTTCAAATTGTACAAACATGCACAAGCATTTTCCATACCATATAAACATGCACAAGCATTTACACGTGGAATTTTTATGCAACAAAATACCGCGGAAACAACACACCTTAAGAACATTCCATCCAGCCCATGTATGTCTTCACAAAGGCAGCCTTCTAACGTCAACAACATTACGGGTCGCACTTGGACGTTCACAGTTGTCTTTCTACACAATGATACGACATCACCCACACTAACCAGTTTCGCAACAATGCAAGAAGCTTGCCTACAAATTGGCATAGTTATTTACCCTCATTTGAAATTAACATAAGGGATACAAACATCTTCTCGCTGCCAACTTCACACTAAACAACACATCTTGCACACCAACAACAATAAGCATCACACTATTATAATCACAATCACATTGTCTGGAACCACAGAAAATTCATTGCATAATAGGACCATGCCAAAACATAATTCAAAAAGGTATACGCCAAATCCCAAAAATAATACCGTAACAATATTAAACCAAAACAAACCACATTAAAACATAATAATCGAAACATGTGTAAATATTGAAACAATCTATCAAATGCCAGCCACGATTGTCATCCGAAACATTTTTCAGCCCACAGACAGGGTCGCCCACGAAAGCCCTCACCTTAGCTGTCACGACCCAAACCCGCCCCTATAGGTTTAGCATCGTAACCGGCCAGTAATCCTGGGATTACCGAAGGCCTCTGAGACAGATTAACATAATATTAGGGGCTAACGGAAGCAAATAACAAATATACAACGTCCATTGAGTTGTGCAGACCTATATGAGACAAAAAAAAATTTAAACTTTTTATATACATATATACACATTATCTTTAAGTCATCATCTATATATAGATTAGACAAAAAAGAGACTAGCCCCATATACAAAATACACAAGACTTGTTTAACCAAACAAGAAAGCAAAACTTAAACTTTAAATCGCATAGCCATAATCATTTGACACATCCGGAACCTCCACGGGAGGCACATAGGTTGGCTGACAAAAACAGATTCTAGGCAGGTGCCTCTAAGTCTAGTCACGCGCCTGATCACCTACATACATAAATAATATAATGAGCTAGAGCCCAGTGAATAATAACAGAGTAAAGGGTTTTAATGAATGAGTCCATACAGATTTAGAAATCATAATTCAGTTTCGTATGAAATGCATAATTTGTCCAGATCATTAACAGACAGAAATCATAAGTCATGCGCAAACATACGTGATACATCCATTAGCATTAACAGAACAGAACATAACAGAACAGAACGTATACACGTGAGGTTATGAATAACCAGTTCCATAAAGGAACCTTCGGATCCAGGTAACAGAACAGAAGCTGAGCCCCCATGACAAGGCCTCCAGTACGGGTAACAGAGTACTGACAGATTAAGTTTCATAAAGGAACCTCCGATACCGGGTAACAGCTAACAGATATCACATGATACTAAGGATGTCACGAATAGATATCAGAAATTGGGCAATCATTCATTGTACAGAATATATCATTTCAGAAAATAGATTTTGATTCATCACACAGAAAATAGGTAAAGTTATAAATATAGCTTTACTAAGTTATTACTCACAGATAGCCACAGAAGCAAATCAGACGGACTAGACATATCAGATAAATTAGGCAGACAATGGCGCGTGACCTACACAAGCACATAATATATACACATTGAAATACAATATTACTCCCTTGATCAAACTTGACTTTCCTAGTCTTTTTCCGTCTAAACAGTCCAAAGTTCTACTATGCTTATTCTTTCTCATTCAAATAAACCGGGTTCTCATTTCACATATTCTTCCGTTACTAAGCCTTTCTTTTCCAAATAGATTGATCTTTTACTTGGCTTCTTAAACAATTATCATTAGATCAATGATTCATTCTTCGACTAACTAATCTATGTTGATTGGTAGCTTATTAATCTTTATTGAGCCATAAATCATGTCTAGAATGCCTTGGAAAGAGATGAGAATAAAAATGTGAACTAAATGTAATTTTCCAAAATATGCTGAAAACGGGTCTCCGCTCGAGCGCCACTTTTGTCGCTCGAACGGATTGCAAAATTTGAAAAACTACTGGGAGCTCAATTTTCATGCTCGAGCGAGACTTTCCTCGCTCGAGCGGACAACACAAATTCTGAAATTTCCAATATTGTAATTGAAGTTCATATTTGATATTCAAAGCCTCAAAACATATATTTTTGGTACACAAAAATGGAAAACCATTGTATAATTTAGTAAACACTCTCAATTAGAAATCATTTATTCAAAATCATGCTCCAGTTGACCAAATTTAGATTTAACTCATATTCTCCATATCAAACCCAATTTCAAGCCCACAAACTTTAAAACACGAATTAAACTTTGAAAACTTTTGAAAAAATTCATAATGTACGTACAATCGGAACTCAATTTCATGTTAGGACAAATAAACTCAACCCAAAGTAATTAATTTCTAAGTTAGTTTTCATACATTTGATCATAGCGTCAATTTCTCATTTTCTCTTTAATTACATAAAATTGGCGTCAAGTTCTTTCTATTTTCCTTGAAATCATGAAATTGGAGTCATGAAACTTCTTTATAAATTTTCCAACTAATTTCCATAATCTTAAGCTCAACGTAATTTGTAATCAAAATATGTTTAATTCAAACAAAATCTTAAATTACATTACATGCATGGATTAAAAATCTAATTATAAAATCCAAGCTTTATCTAGCATTAGGATTAATTCTAATTTTCCATAAACTTGATGTTCATAAAACATTTCATTTTTCTCTTCAAAATATGAGATTGAATTAATCCAAATCCTTCAAAATCCATGATGTATGCAATACAAATAGGTCCAATTTTATTATTAATAACAAAATCAACTTAACTATGAATTACACAAATCAATTTCTTAGAAATTCAACTTAACTCAATATCTAACCAAAAACTTAATTTATAATCATAGATGTTTTAAAATGTGCTTAAATTGAACAAACCTTTTAAATTAAATTACATGCATGGATTAAACAAATTCCTAGTTTTCATAATAAAATCAAAACTTCCTTTAATTCCAAAATCATCTCTCAAATTTCATGAACTCATGATTTTTATAACTTTTTCTCCAAAGTCAATTATATACTCCATTGCATGGATCCAATCTTCAAATATTTATTGTTGCATGTAATTTATAGAACCCAATTTATGAATGATTCTCAAAATTAACTCAAATATAACAAATTTAAAGAACCATAACTCATATTTTCAACCTAACTTGATTAAACATGCGAGACCCAATTTCTATGAATTTATATAATTAATCCTCAACTTCCTATTTTAATTTTTTCAAATCCACCCTCAATCAATTTATAATTTGGCTTCTTAATTTATATCACAACTTAATCTCGAGCTCATAACCCTTAAAATATAAATTAAATTCTAAAATCTTGAAAATTCACAATGCATGTGAGGATAAACTAAAAATATGTGAAGGAGGAAGAAAATCAAACCCAAATATTAAATCACAACATCAAACCCAAAATAATTAATTTCTAATTTATTTTCCATAACCATCCACATGCATGTAACCCATTTCAAATTAACTTCTATGATTTTGAATCTAATTCAATTTCATCACCCTTTTACTAATTCCTTTTAATTTATATGCAATTGAATCCAATTTCATTTTGATTCAAGATGTTAGGGGAATTATTTACAAGAATTAAGGTAGAAATTATTACCTATTATTCTTCCAAGATGAATTCTTGAGCCTCTTATTGTTACTCTTTACCTTCCTCTTTGCTCCTAATTTCTTCCTTTAACTCTAGTTCCAGCACACACAAAAAGAAAAACAGTGGCTTTCTCTCCCTCTCTCTCGGCTCTGTCTCACTCTCTTTTTCGGCTACAAAGACAGAGCTTCCTTTTCTTTGCTTTGTTTGTGTTTTCTTCTTGAGCTTCATCAGGTTATACACTCGCACACACACCTCACTTCTTTGTCCTCAACACAGCACACGTGCACTCTTTTTTTGATTTCCAGCACATCACTCACATACACACACCTATACATAGATTTCTCAACACACCCATACCCAATTACACCCTCAATTCTAATTTAGTCCATAATTCAATTTATGATTAAAATTAATTTAATTAGGCAACACTCAATCTAAATATATCTTGATTAACACATAATTAAATTAATCATACCTAATCACAAATCTCACATAATTAAATTAGTTTAGTTTGACTCCCATTAGAGCCTAATTAATTATATTAAATTTATTAATCTGAATCAGATTTTTAGTCAGACTCCCAAAAGGCTCCAAATATTAAATTAAATTTATTATCATTATCAATTTTGATCTCCCAAATCATCTAAGCCTTCAATTTCTGATCAAACTCAAATTTCCATCAATAAATTACATATCTAAATTGGGCACATCATAATTAAATTAAATTTATAATAACCACAATCATCAATCATCATGACTTAATCAACTCCAATTATGACCTAATTAATCGAATCTCAATTTCACTAAATTAAATCGAATATTTAATTAAGCTTCCAAATGGGCCCGTAATTAAAATTAGATTGATTCAACTTCTTAACTTCACTTCTTTAAGCCATTGGACCCTTAATTTCTAATTCTAAAATAACTCTTTAATAGAATCATATACGAGTCAGATCCCACAATCCTCGTAAATCCCAAATTAAATTATAATACTCGGCAATTAAATTTCAAATCCTCATAATTAATCAAGTACTAATCATTATACGTGATGAGGTCGTTACAATAGCGGTATGTGCACCTACGCAGTTAGTGTCTTTCATTGTCCATTCGATTGGGATATGGTGAACATACTGCCGCATGATGTAGCACACAATAATTGCACAGTCCGGACTGTCAATAATAACACACAAGATTCATGTGTACAAAACAGTCAATATGTTGTCCAATATCGAGGACCATAAACAGTTGACGTAACAAACGCAAAATGAGAACGTACCATTCCGGACGTTGTTGCGAGTAATCCACAATAGATTCAATAATACCATCTCTATCTTGCATACCAACCATGTCTTCATGTGAATGTCGTTTGACGTACTCGGCGCACATAGTTCAACACTTGTTCTTTCTACAACACACATAATCAAAAAAATGAGGAACACATCACCAACAAAACAATGCCGCCATATACTAACAAATGGCCAATCAACAACCCTGGGCGACCTTCACAAACCTATATTTTTTTTGAAAATTCCACAAACGTGCCAAAACCAGTGTTTCTTTGTAGTGTACGTGTCACGATCCAAACCCGCCCCTATGAGTTTAGCACCATAATCGACCAGTAATATTTGGATTACCAAAGACCTCTTAACAGAATAATGTATAATTAGGGGCTACGGAAGCAAATATACCAACAATACATAATCCATAGAGCCGTGTAGACATACATGGGACATAAATTTAAAACCTTATATAATATATATGCATATATACAACATCACAATGCAGTAATCTTCGTCACATTTAATACAGTTGTAGCCCAAAAGGGAAATACCCCAATAAACACATAAATCAAAAGACTTGATCGTATTACTTATTAACACTAGGTCGTAACTTATGCCGTTTAGAATTGACTTGCGCACAAAAGGGAACCTTCTCAGAGGCACAACGGCTGAAACAGATTTCAAATCCCAAAGCAAATCATAATCATAATCAGGTTTATAACAGAAACAGAGTCATAGTCTTATTCATATTCAAATCATGTGTAATACATCCATTAGCATAAATATGTCTCTTTGGTCAAGCATATCAAGATCCAAAAAGGAACCTCCGGTACCGGGTAACATATCTCATACATGGGCCACGATATTGTTTCCCCCGGCCGAGGGCTTGTACCAAGGTATTATCTCCCTCAGGCGAGGGCCTCATGACCATAAGCCACAATATTATATCCCCTAGGCGAGGGCCTTTGCTAAGGATACCACAACTATTTTTCAAAGAAAATTGGACATTCATTTATTCACACAAAACATAGTATTTCAAAAAACTGATCATTTCGTATCTTCAGAAAATAATTAAAATCAATATAACTTTATAGAGTTATTACTCACAAATAGCCTTGGCAGTAAACAAATGAATCAACCGCTCATAGCACGTGACCTACACCAAACATAACAGATACGTATAATGAAACACACACTCGTTTGATACTTAACATCTTTCGTTTCATTCTTAGTGTATTTCTAAGTCTTTACCTCTTATTGAGTCTTAATAATGGCCTAAGAGTGCCTAGGATGCAATGAGGATGCTAGAATGTACTTGAAAACACTTAACAAAAATTGCTGAAAATAGGGGTCTCGCTCGAGCGGTCTGCAAAAGTATTGGTTGCTTAGTTTTTCTGCTCGATGCTCGCTCGACGCTCGCTCGAGTGTGAGACTCAAGTCCTTGCTCGAGCACAATTCTTATCGCTTAAGCGGTCTGCAAAACACTCAGACTTCTGGGAGCACGCATTTCACGCTCGAGCCAATCTTTGGTCGCTCGAGCGGAGGTGCAAGACACAGAGTGGTCGCTCGAGTGTAGGAACAGAATTCTGGAATTTCCAGATTCGCTCCCAAGCTCAAAATTCAATTTCCAAACCTTCAAAACACATTCTTTTGGGCTAAAACTTAGTAAAACATTAAGAAACTCATAGTACATGATGAATTATAAACTATTTTGCAAAAGGAAGCCCAAATGCTAAGCCAGTTGTACTAAACAAAGCTTGAAACTTAAATAACATAACTTGTATGTAATGTCATGAGTTTCAACTCCCCAAAACATGATCAAGTGAGTCATTAAGCTAAAAAACAAGTTGAATTCTTTTAACAAAACCAAGATATGAACATGCATGTGGGAATTCTTGTAAAAACAACTTCAAAACCTCATGATATGCACATGCATGCACGAGTCATGTTCAATTCTATCATCTAATCTCAATTCTCTTTGAACAATGCATAACAACTTCATTTCTTGTTGATTTCACATGTAATTGAGCCTAAGGTTACAAAATGTGAGTTGAAGTCTTACCTAAGGCTCAAATTCTTCAAGTTGGAGTTTAATTCCTTGGAATTCACTTCAATCTCCTCCAAATTCTAACAATCACTCTAGAATTGAGCTCAATTTCCTTTTCTCCCACTCTCACCCGTTTGATGGTCAAGCAAGAGGAAGTAGAAGTGTAAAAGTGTGTAGGAGGTAATGAGGTGGCCTTATATTATATAGGCTTGATTAATAAATTCATTAATTTGGGCTTAATTGAGCATTAATTATTCTAATTATTTTATTCCAAATCGAATTTTAATTAAAACTACTATAAAATTCTAATTAACACATAAATCAAGCCAATTTCTGAATCGGATGCTAATACGGCCTTCAATTCGTAAACTGAAACGGAAATATGAACAGATCTTTCTACGTTAAACAGTTATAAACCCAAATAAGACAATGTATGATGCAAAATTTCACTTGAATTTCTTATTAGGCATAATTAAGCATGAATTAACGTTAATCATGGGTCAGGGTTGTTATAGTACGTCTTCGCCCTTGTTACGGAGCCGCAATGAATTGTAATGTTTCCAAATGCCATTTTCGGTGTCATAAATAACCAACGTCCAATGTGATTTGAAACACATTGGGAAGTGAATGTACCTAACGTTAGTAGCTGCGCGCATGTGCGTCTCCACATATTTATCCCTCAACGTTGCACTTGTGTGTTTTACCATGTCCTGCACCACATATAAACTCACCAAACCAACGACATGAACGGGACTATACAACACAAAATCATAACACAATCTATGTAGTGGTCATACCAAACATATGCTTGAGAAGAAGTATGACTTCTCCAGGAAATCTACCCCTACTGCTAGAGTGTCTTGTTCGCTCAACAGAAGCTCCGCACATGCGTCAATGGCCTGTCATAAATCAACATACATATCAGTATCTACGTGACGCAACGCTTATGGCAATAAACACATGTTATAATTCATTAGTTAGTCCACAGCATTTTCAAGGCACATACATTTCCTCTCACTCCAACGGGGCAGACCGGATTTCAAATGTCTGAAAAATAGACAAAAGCATCTTCTTTCGCACCAGCCTATATGATTGCCTTACATGGGGAAATCACATTTCATTTCACGTACACAAACACTGGAAATATGACAACTAAATACGACAACTAACTATGGCATACTTACCCATCACCATGAATCTCGTAAGTGATGTTTAATTTGTGTTTCATTTCCTCGAGTATTAATTTCTACAGGGCCAAACGGTTGTTCAAACCAAAACCTATACGAAGTTTGACAACTTCAGCAACCTCACCCACGACCACATCATCATCGCAGTCAATCAGGTCAATATTGAACCTTCCTTCTTCTATTAGAGGATCCTTCAAATCAGTCCTGGCTTTCCTTAAACGTCTGTGGGCCAGCGGGTACTCATACTTTGGTAACTCCCGTTCGCGTTACGACCCCTCATTGACCTCCAAACACCCTTCACTGACTATCTGCACTTCCGGATTGGACACCGTCACGTTAACACCTGTTTCTCCATGCACTACATTGTCATCGGTAGCGACGCAAGCAACTCGTTGTGAGCTCACACTAATCACATGGCTCAACACACGTTGCATGACATCATGTATAATTTCCTCAAGAGTCTCCGCATCGCCAAATGCAAATGAGTCCATACCAGCATCAGCATCACAATCACGGGGTGTCTCTGTCATTTATTGAACAGGTTGGCCGGTAAGCTGATCCTCAAGTCCGGATATCCTTATTTTCAATTCGCCAATAACAATGCCCAACCGTGCGATGTCATCTTCTTTCACTTTCAAGCATCCATTGAATCCAACAAACAGGTTCGATGTTTGCACCTCAAGTGCTTTCGTCAAATTTCTGATTTGTTTCTCTAACTTGGCAATCACAAGGTCTTTGCTTTTGTTCTCGGC